CTAGTAATTAAATGGCAAGGGCTTTTGGAAAGATGAAGACCATAATTATGCTAACTACTCTCAGGAAAATGTAGAATTTGTTTATGTTAATTTGAACAATATCCAAATTACTCCTTCAGTGACTCCGTATTCTTTCTACCTGATTCTTTCTATCAGATTCTTGTGGGAGTGTTGGTGTGAGGAGTTTCTGTAATCATAGAAGTTTAGAGGAAGTAAATTAGAGATCCTACCACTTTTTTTTTTAAGTACCACTGAGTCTGGACAATGCAATATGTATATATAACTAGGACTGCATAGCTTTTCCTCTATAAACTATCTGCAGTTACTCAGGTGAAAATAATGAATTTGCATTTACTTATAGGTCTAGAAAAATAATCACTGCCATTTTTTAAATTTTAAGTTAAAATTTGAAACAGTCACTTTCATTCTTTGTTATTCTTTCATTGTTTGGGGGGAAGTAAAAGAGAAAGGGAAAAAATGGAGAGAGAGGAGGGAAAAAAATGAGCTGATACCAAGGGCTCAAGTAGAAAGAAAATGTTTTAAAAATGATGATGATAACGTGTACAAATGAGTTTGACACATCTGGATGGATGGATTGTGATAAGAGCTGTATGAGCCCTAATAAGATGATTTTTTTTTAAATGGAGAGAGTGACCTGCAATCTACTTTTTCTATGCCTTAAAATATCTCCAGTTTGCTGAAGTGTTGTAAAATTATTTAGAAATTTTCATTTTGCATATATTTTGTGTGAAAAATCCCCGGCAAACTAAAATATGACATTGTCGAAATGCCTGAAGTTTGTTTTGTTTTGTTTTTCCAGTTGAAATATGGGGGTAAGTTTAAAAAAAAAAAAGCATTGTTACAAAATCATAGAAACCTTTATTAAACAAAAATGTCCCCAAAATGCAGCTATTGCTTCTTGACATATTCTCCTTCTAGGTCTATGCACTTCGGAAGGCATTGCTTTCTATCTCTCTACGTTTTCTCTAGAGAAATCTGATGGGACTTTTGACATCTCGAGGGACTCACATGCTCCTTGTAAATGTTCCTTGAGTTGGGAGCAAGAGTTGGAAGAAGCAAGATGGAGGCAGTAGGGCAGAAGGGGTAAGGTCCCCTTGCCGGTCTGAAACAACCTTTAGGAGCCTCAAACAATTAGCAGGTGTGTCGTCACAATAGGAGAAACATTCCTCTGTGCAATGTTCCTGCCCGTTTCCTCACCAATGCAGTTTTCAATTTTCTTACAAACTTCTTCAAAACAAGCCCCCGTAATTGCCCTGTGTCCTTTGAGAAAATCTATCAAGTGTACCCCTTTGGAATAAAAATTAAAAACCAAACCAAACCAGAAGCCATGACCTCGGGCCTGACTTCTCAGCATTATTCCAATCAGCAGATCTCTTGGGAAAGCCATTGTCTTGGTTGGACCTGGCCCTCTGGGTTG